AGGCAGGAGCTTGACTGTGGTCAAACCAAGGCAAGTCCTGACAACAGTGAAGTTTAGTGAGACCTGGGCCTGGCTAGTATTCTGAATGAATACCACCAAGAAGGGCCGAGAGAAGGTTTGCCAATTTCAGTTAAATAAACTAAGGGTCAGAGAAGTGCATCATAGAATCCTTCTTCTATAAAGTGAGCGGAAGGTAGCTGGAAGGATTTAGTGAGGCAGCATATGTAAAAGCACCAAGCCAATAATAGGTGCTCAAAAATGTACCTCTCCCAGAGAACCAGAGCAGGAAGGAATTAAAAACAAAAAAGGAAACCCCGTTAGTCTTCAAGGAGATTATAATTCTACCAAGAAACAAAATGCACCTATAGGTAATCACACAGAATGGCCTAAAAATTAATAATAAAAAATGTTAAATACAAAAGTGGTAAACAGACCTGCAATTGACAAAGATCATTAGGACAATAATATGCAGGCAAGGTTAAAGGTGGAGCCAGCCTGGACAGAGAGAGACCATTTAAGAAACTCTTGCTACAATTTATATGACAAAATAAAGCCAGGACTTATTCCTAAATTAAGGCCACAGTGATAAGGACAGAGAGTAGAAACTGAAGAATTAAGAGGTAAAAGGAGCAGACTAGGTGGTCAAACATAGAGCAAAGAGAGAAAAGACTCAAGCTGGCCACAGGGGACTAGTAAAGAAGGCCATTCCCAGGGACAAGGAGCCCAGGAAGAGGAGGCTGAGAAGATGAGTCTGGTTTGGATGCTCTGAGTGTTAAGAGCTATGTGGCATCCAGGTGAGGAGGAAGACCAAGAGGAAGATCAGGAGGTTAGGAACAGTGTGTCTGGGTGGAATGGAAGTTAAGGAGGTAGAGGAGACAGCCAGAGAGCCATGCAGAAAAGGGCCCTACGATTAAATCATAGCCAATGTAAAGGACTTTCAGAAGAGCATGGTAAGGAGTGGCTAGGTAGAAGCAAAATCAGAAGCTTATTTTGACAGAGTTCTGGAATGTAGTGAGAGTAAGATGCAGCCTAATAGGCTTTGAAATCATGGAGTCACTTCCACGGGCGCAGTTTCAGGCAATGGTGGGAGAAAAGGCCAGGTTGTAGCAGTTGGAGTAGGAAAAGGTTAGAAAAATAAAGAAAAGAGAAAAACAAAATGCAGCCTAAAATTTCAAGAAGCTGGACTGGAGTAAGGAGTTGAGTTAGAGAGAAAATGCAGAATAAAGGGGCAGTATTTTTTTTCTTAAAGATGGAATAGACTTAAGCATGTTTGTGTTCTAAATGGAAAGGCTCAGAAGAGAAGCAGAGTTAACTTACAATCAGGACATGAGATTATTGATGACTGAGATCTCTAGACAAGAAGAAATGGGAACAATCCAGAGCACAGGTAAAGAGATGAGGACAGGTGGAGGGCACTGCTTCTAGTACAACAGGGATGGGTGAGGGTAAGTGTGGTGAGTGAGGTTTGCAGGAAGAGGGTCTCTAATCCATTAAGGGAGCGACAGGAGTGACTAACTACCTTCTGCTGGGAGTGAAAGAAATGGCTTAGAGAACTGCCCTCCTAGTAAACAGGGAACACGCAGCCTGGCAACCCAGAAGGATGACCGGGAACTGCCCAGCTTGGCAGAAAATGGATGTGCAGGGCTACCAATTTGTAAGGCTTTGAGGTTCTTCTCCAGAAGTGTTTGGTGGCCTCAGTACAGAAGTTTAAAGCAAACAAGATTCACCCAGAGCTAACATTTAGGCAGGCATATATTAGGAAGATGACAGGAGCACAAAGGAGTTGAAAATCCTGACAAAAGAATGGCTGAAATGAGAGAACCAGGGGGCTTAGACTGGCTAGGGCAGATGTGAAGTGAGAAGGGAGAAAAAGGAAGAATTTAACAACTACAAGTGTTAATTAAAAGAAAAACTGGTGCCATGGAATGACAGTTGACAAGATTAGATGATGAAATCTAAAGTTCAACATTACAGAAGAGGTTCAATTTTGACTTATACAAGTGAGGCCATGGAGCAGATGGACTGAATTGAAAGGAAGTTCAGGTTCCTGGTGGTGGCACTCAATGCACTAGGGAGTCAGGTACTCAAGGCACTATGTGACCAATGGAATGTCCAAGGATGAACAACAGGATAGGGGGCATGAGGAAGGTGGCAGGAAAGAGGGAAGGCACAGGAGGGTAGTTGTGTGAGCGCACGCACACACACACACACACACACACACACATACACACACATATATATATATATACACATACACACACACACGTGAGTAACAAAAATGGAAAAAGCTGTGATGAGATGGCATAAACCTCAGTGGGGAGGGTGCTGAGTGTGGCCGTGAAAGGAAAGCTACTAGAATGCTAGGCCTGCAAGCCATATAAAGCCAATGAAATCATTTGGTCTGGCCCTGCCAAGGCATTAGGGGTGAGCTAATTAAATGTTTGACCAAATATAGCAGGCTAATTTTTAAGCTGATAATTTTATATGGCCCGCAAATGATGTTATAAATACCCAAATGGCCCTTGGCAGAGAAAAAGTTCCCCATCCTTGCTTAGAGGATGGAGAAGCGGGTCTGGTACAGTGGACTCTCAGGCAGCAAAGGGGGTGGAAAGGAGCAGGTGTGCATTCTGGCTGGAGAAAGGAAGAACCAATATGTTGAGCTGTTGAGGGCACTGCATTTGTTTAGCTACTGTTGCCTTCCCAGGGTGAAGGACATCAATGACCAGGTGGGGTGGGGATTGCAGAAGTCACAGGAGAATAACAGGAGGAAGAGGTTCCATGAGCAGTCACTCAGGCCAAGGGCAGAGACAGACCAGCACCACCAAGGGAAGGGGATGACACTTGTGGGTCAGCAGAATAGTGGCCCCCAAAATGTCCATGTCCTAATCCCTGAGCCTGTGAATATTTTCTCTCATGGCAAAAAGAATTGTGCAGATGTGATTAAGTAAAGAATCTCAAGATGGAGAGACCACCTTAACTTCTGTACCCAATGTCACACAAGGGTTCCTCTAAATGGGAGGCAGAAGGATCAGAAAAGGAGACGAGATGATAAAAACTGAAGTTGGAGTGATGTAGGCCAAAGAACACAGGTGGCCTAGAAGCAAGAAAAGGCAAGGAAACAGATTCTTGCCTACAGCCTGCAGAAGGAACACAGCCTTGCTGACCCTAATCTCAGCAAGTGACAACAAGGTGGGGTAGCAGGGATCTGACTCAAGCAGGAATTACAGTTCTTAAAACCTTCTACCACAGTTGACCTCTACCCTGCCCTCTACTCTACACAGAAGCCCTGAGGAGGTTCTCAAGCTACAGATTTCCAGGCTCTACCCCTGAGGTTCCAATCTGGTAGGTCTCAGCAATACCCACACATCTGCGTTTTCCAACGTTCCACAAAGGTATGTGACATGGAGAGGAAAGTTAGCATTTTTTAAATGTGAGGTGCCTGCACTTGGTTTCGTTTTCCCTGTTTGTGCCACCTCTTCTCCCTATTCTATTACATGTCCAGGATTACAATTATTAGGCCTTTCACAGAACAAAAAGTACTAGATGTAACTCAACAGGTATCATGGAAAGTAAAGCAAATAAAAAGTATTAGCTTCTCATTGCTAGCTAAAGTGCAATAATATAATGATGCAAATCTGACATAATTTTTAAATATAAATTGTCTTTTTTTTTAAAGGATTCAAAATTTTTATATAGGATTGGAAATTCCTAAATAAAGACTTTCAACAAAATTATGTAATAATCTCTGAGTTTTGGTGGAAGGGAAAGGGAAAAACAGTCTGCCATCAATTATAGTTCCCTTGCCTTTTTTTAGGAGTCTTAGAAGTCACTAATTATAATATATTAAATATCTATGTCATGGCTTTGTGGAAGAAGTCACTATGTTGTGGACTGTGTTATCCATTTTAAAAATTATTCATTAAAATATGTATTGAGTACATATTTTACCATGTACTAGGCATTATGCAAAACTTTGGAAATTCAGAGATATATTAGACAAAGTCTCTCTATCCTAATGAAGGAGGAATAGAGTTACAGTTAGAAAATTATCATCCAGGTAATGATTGAATTGTATATAGAATTCTGAGGCCAGAGAATGCTTCCCTGACATCTTGGGGGTGGAGGTGGTAGTAGTTGTTCAGTAAAGCTTCTTAGAGGAAGGACAGATGAATCTTGAACGATAGGAAGGGATTAGCTCAGTGAAGATGGTAAGCAGAGGGACTGGGAGTAGAGGGGAGGAAAGGAGAGAGCTGCGAGTGCACTAGAAAGCTGTGTGGTGAGAGAATAAAGCTTATTCTGGACATTGCTAGTATTGTTCATCAGGTAACAGACTTACATACTATAAATTAAATTGTCCCTGAAATACTGAACACACAAACTGTGAAGAATAGGGCAACAGAAGGTTGGGTATCTAGGTAAAGATGATCCCCTGAAGCTGCACGCCCCCTGTGCCAGTAGTCACTTCGTTAAGTTCTGGGCATCTTCACAGTCAGGTAGGACATGATGTAGGTGTCTCACTGTCTCCTCTAACATGTTGCCTGACCTACCACCTCCAAGCAACATATCAAAACAGATCCCTGTAGCTTGATTCTTGGGTGAAAGTGCAAGTAATAGCAACTAATAAAAGAAAGACTAACACTTATTGAGGGTTTACCTTGTGCATGTTGCATCCCATGTCCTTTACATGTACAATTTATTTAATCCTTCAACAACCCAAGGAGGTAGGTATGGCACTTTCCCTACTTTATGGATGAGGAAACTGAGCACGGAGAAGCTGACTGGCTTGTCCAAGGACTGGGAGCTGGTAGGTGATGGCACCCAGGAGCCCAGCTCTGCAGCACACACTCTGAAACACTAAGGCTATGATTAGCTTTGTTTTGCCGCTTTCCAGCTGCTACAAATCTGATAAGTTGGTGTACTCTCTAGGCAAACAGTTTAATTCTAATTAATTCGCTGAAGTGTTGATTCCTTATAAAAATATAAGACCTTCAGTAGTTCACCTGGGAAAACAGTTCAACGGGTGCTGCTACAGCCTTCTGTTCTTTCAAGTACTGCCCCCAAGACCACGTGTCCTGTGCAGCCGCTGAAGGGACTGGGAAAAAACAAAACCAAAAAACAATGACTTTTCTTGAAACAATTAGTGACAGAAGAATAATGAAATTTGAAGATAAACCCAAGAAGCCGGCAAATTAATTAAATTGGTAATCACAAGACCCAGCAACCAAAAAGAACCTTCTCTCTCATTTTCTGTGCACATTGAGTAAAGTCATCTAACTATCCCATATGCAGCTTTTCCTGTTTTAGAACAGGCTTATGAATATAGCCTACCCCAAGGAGACTGGTGGGGAACACTTTACACAGGGACCCTCTTACTCTTCATGAAAGAGTGAACAGGTACAGGTTCTCTACAAGATGATTTGGTTAATTTTAAGGTGAATGACTTGAGAACTTCTTTTATCATCTCCTTTAACTTTACCTCTTTTTTGGTGTGAATGCCAATTAGTGGGACCTGTCAGAAGGCAATGTGGAATATATGTCAAAAGCCTTACAAATTATTCATAACTTGGAACCAGCAATTCTTCTAGGTATTTGTCTTAATACAATTACAGTGGATGTGTCCAAGGGACAAACACAAAAGTTTTTATCCTAGAGCTCTTTATAATAATGAGAAACAAACTAAAGGCCCACTAAGAGGGGGTTATTAAATGAATGCAGAGACATGTTATTTTAGGAACTGGCTGTAAATTTACATTATAGCACATTGTTAATGGCAGAGGAAGGCTATGTAAGTGGGGGCGGGGAGCAATTTTAGAAAACAAAATGACCCTTTTGCGTAAAATATGTAGTGGAAATAGAAAGAGTATAATTATATAAATCTAAATATTAAATGAAGTCATCTTTATGTACCAGGTTTATAAAAAATGTCTTTATAATTTTCTTTATCTTCCTGCTTTTCAAATTTTCTAGATTAATACCTATCCTTTATAATTCAATAACATATCATCTTTAAATAATAAAAATTGGGCAAAAAGGACTAATAATTGCTTTAAGTTTATAATCTATGCCCCAGTAACTCCTCCTCTAAGATTATTACATGCTAAGAAAGTAGTCATGATAAAACTTAATAGTAAAATGTACATAAAATTATTATAGTAAAAATGCAAAAAAAATTAATATGGGAGAAAGGTTAAATAAACTATGTATATATATGTATAATTATGTATAATAATTATATTATTATACATAATAATATATGTGTAATTATGAAGTTACAAGCATGCATATTTTCAAATAAAGTATCTTGAGAAATTTTTGTGATGAGTAAAAATCAAAGTAAGGACACATAATAGTATATATAATATGATCTTAAATTTTGAAATAAAAATTACATATATTAAAACATTCACTTATCCAACATATTTATAAAGAGCCTTCTTTTTGCAAGGTACTATGCATATACGTGTGTCCACACATACAAGCACATGCATAGGAAAGCAGTTGGAACAAAACAGCAAAATATTGGCAATGGCTATACATGGGTGGTGAGATTAATGTAAATATTCTTTTCTTATTTGTTACTTATACAGTTTTAAAATTCTCTACAAGTATTATTAATTAGCCTTCCCTCCACACTGTGTGCTCACACACTCACATACATACACATACACGCATCCTTGGAGAAGACTGATCAACATTTTTAACATTATCTTTCTGGAAAATGCTCCAGAAGAAGGTACAGAAGGTAAAGTGTCCAAATTTCATGAGCACTGGTGGTGACAGGTGGGAAGATACACCTCTAAGTCAAACATCTGAAACCTCTCAAGACAATAAAGCAACTTGATGGAATAACAAACATAAAAATCTACCAAGTTGTGCATAAAAAATTCATGTAGCATTTTAATCATTCAAAAAAATATTTTCTGAGCTCCTCTTAATGTGCCAAGAAGTGTGCTGCCTGCTGGATTAAAAATATAACCCAGTCCCTGGTCTAATGGATGAAAAATAAATAAATAAATAAATTTTCCTTTGGTAGCCATACATATCACTGATAAAAAAGAGAATATTTTATGTTCAGTTAATAAAGAAAAAATAACTTCAACGTACACATTTAAAATAGATACAACAGAGCATGCACAGTAACATAACATTTACTCTCTATCAATCAACACACTAACTTATTATTGCTAAGCAATTGCACTTAATAAAGCATGAGAATTTTAAAAGTGTTTTAATTATCAAGTGCGCTGACAGAATTGTCATCAATGATTTTTCTTGTTTTGTTTGAAAACAGTGAGCTATCATCGTGTGATTTCCATCAGAGCTCAGTCTGTTGGCCATTATACCACTTAAGGGTTTGCTGCTATTTCTACCACAACATGAGATATTTTATTTTCCTAAACAGAGAAAGCAATTTGACAAACTCTGAAGATGATCTGATAAGATTGTTCAACATTCTTATTTTCACATAGACATTTTACTACATTACAATTATATGCTTTGCAAAAACATTATAGCAGTGATGGCTCTAAAGCAAATATAGATATCTCATTTTCTACCACAGCTGTGTTCTTTAAAAGATTGTGGTAATTTCTCAACTTAATCATATTTTCAATTGTCATATATTATCATTTCACCAGAAATAAATCAAATCTTAGACTTTCTTTTATTATCACATAAGTGATAATAAAATTTATCAGGAAGAGAAAACATAATATCAAACAATAAAAGCTTTCAATGAATTAATTATTTTTGTAAAGCAAGAGAACTACTCAGCAATATAGTGCCTGCAAATACCAAGTCGCCTGCACCTGGAGCCTGGAGACAACCCTTTACTTGCCACTGATTCTAAAGTGTTCTGTCATCCCTTTTGTCTCTTTTCACCTTGTTTCATTCTTTTTTCACAGGGATTACAATACCTGAAACTAGCACTGGCTGAAAGGAGCCAGTTTGCATACTTAGAATTAGAATGTAAGATCCTAAAAAGAAGAGATTTTGGCCTTCTTCATCATTATGTCTCTGGAGCTATAATCATGCTTGGCATAAATATTTGCTTAATGAATTAAAGGGAAGGCAGGCAGAATAGTACTTTTGGCCTTCATGGGGGACATCTGTAATAGTGTCAACTAACTAAATAATTAATTATAAATAAATAAATAAAATGAATTCAAAGATATTTATTTTGAGCAACTCATTTCTCAATTTTCTGGAGGGAAGAAACCAATTATGCGACAGCACTGCTTCAGGTAGCAAACTTACTTTATTTTTTATGCAGTATTCTCAGACATACTAAAAATATGACCTTCATTTTATATAAATACTACAGGTCCTGTGCATGAGATTCATGCACTTGGGGGCGTTGGGGGATCCCTCAGCCCAGCCTGTGCCCTCTCGAGGTCCGGGACCCGTCAGAGGATGTCCACATGCCTGCATAGGCCCCATCCCCTGGGGGCCTAAGCTGGCACTCAGACATCCCTCTTGCAGTCCAGGCTCTCATAGTCCAGGGCCCCTCACTCCTTATGGCCCGCCTGCAACGGAGGCAGGAGAGGCTCCCATTACCACTGCTACACTCGCCAGCCATGAGCCTGGCTTGTGGCTGAACAGCACTCTCCCTGTGGGAGCGCACTGATCACCAGGGGGCAGCTCCTGTGTTCAGCGTCTGCCCCCTGGTGGTCAGTGTGCATCATAGTGACCAGTTGTTCTGCCGTTTGGTCGATTTGCATATTACACTTTTATTATATAGGACTAGAGGTCTGGTGTATGAAATTCATGCGGGGGGGGGGGGGGTCCCTCAGCCTGGCCTGTACCCTCTTACAATCTGGGACCGCTGGCTCCTAACTGCTTACCTGCCTGCCTGTCCAATCGCCCCTAATCACTCTGCCTGCCTCCCTGATCACCCCAACTGCTCACCTGCTTGCCTCCTCGCCCCTAATCAACTCTGCCTCGGTCCCCACCATCACAGCTTCATCCGGAAGGACATCCAGAATGGCGTCTGGAGGTCATTAGGCTGTCTGGTCTAATTAGCATATTATGCTTTTATTATCATAGACTGGATATACATACTGTTTTATAAATCCCAAATTTCTTTGGCCATAGTAAAATGTTACAATTATTACTCTTCTTCCAAACATATGTAATACTTTCAACAATAAAGATTTGTAAATAAAAGAAAAAATGAGCATAGCCCTTTTAATGTTCAGTTTCTTACATAGACAGCAAAAGACAAAAGCAGTTAAAGGGGCCAGCTCCCTGTGTCCATTGCACAAGGTGACACTGAAACAAAAGGGACCAGCTACTGCAATGTGGATGTCAGCTCAACTACCCTGTTCCTGAGGAGCCAATTTCCAGCTGTAGCAATGTTGTTTTATAGACTACAGTAGCACTCAAAGGGGATGGAGAGAGGGGGTGAAGTGAAATGCCTCAATCTCATTGCCAGGAGGCAACGAGAAACTGTCTCAGGATAAACTCCTGGGGGAGGCCTGTAGGCAAATGAAAAATGACCTGTAGCAGCTCCTCAGGAGCCTCCAAGTTGTCATGTTCCAGGAGGATCACAGGACATTCTGTTAAGACTTAGATCACCTGCAGGGAGGCCTTGTCTACCTGGCCTAATTAGATATGTGCAACATTATAGGAACCATGCTAAAGCCATTCCCCTACAAAAAAATGGATGGATTTGGCTTTTACAAAATAGAGAGAGATGCAACACCTTCCCCGTGTGGAAATAGGCAGGACCATGTCTTTTTTTTCTCTGAGCAGTATGAGGTAGTGTGTGTGTGTGTGTGTGTGTGTGTGTGTGTGTGTGTGTGTGTGTTTCCTTTCTTCTAAAAGCAAGAAAGAATCCCTCCACTGGTCTGCAGGCCTGAGGTGTTAGGTTTACTTAGCTGCAGCCAAATTTGCAGATCAGCAAATACTGTAACTTCTTTCACAAAAAGTAGCAATTTGTGCCTGGTGAAATGACAAGCTGACACGTTTGTATTTTACCACTCACTGAATTTTGCTTTGTTCTTGTACACACACCTTGAGATTTGTTAGCCTATTCATCAGACTAGCAAGAGCAAAGGCAAAAATTGAAAGCAAAGAACACAGAAGAAAATG